TAAACTGCAGTCCATCAGATGAAAATTTGCATATCTGTATTTGTCCGTCTTGTTATTTCAGCTGATTAGGTGAGCTGTAGCTCACCAAAGCAAAGACTTGTAGGCCATTTATGAACTACTGGCCAAACAAAGAGAGAGCTTCTACATCCTTAAAAAAAACTTGCCCTTCCAACTGTAGAACTATTTGGTTGAAAATGTCTGATATAATCATTTGACCCTCCAAAAAATAATATCTGGTTAGAGGAGCTTCCCCACTTTCTCCAAAGACAGTGAACAAGGGTGATAGTTACATATTTAACTTATCTCTGAAATGTATAGCTATGTAAACAGGTGGATAACACAGCATTGATCCATATGAGAGATCAGCTGTGAACCAGATGTGAAGATTGGAACAATGGACCAATTTATCAATAATCGAATAAAGAATGGATGTTGTCTGTGCTACAGTATGTGAATGTTGACTGCATAGTTCTCCCCTCCACTTCTATTTTTTCCAAAGTTATAAACAATAGTAAAAAACTTCAAATTAAATTACAGTATTGCTTGAAGACAATTCAGTAGATCTAACAATTATTAAAGCACTCACCAACTAGCTTCAATATTTATTTAATTGCAGCATATTTATAATACATAGATTTATAATCTTACAAGTAGTTATTTTGGCATACATCCTAAAAAGGGAACTTTGATTTGTTAAATAATACTAGCTATTCTGACTTACTCTTTCTAATTCAATATCTCAGTAAAGTGGTACACTGTGTGTCCATGTTTCTGTACATAGGGCTGCTTCGTATATACTGTACCCACTTGAAATTTTAATTGACACAGAAATCTTCCTTATTTCACTTGCCAGAGATTGCATAGCCTTTTTTTGGGTGGCCAGGTAGGATGCTAATCCTACAGTGGTCTGTAATCCAAATTGGTTTTCAGTGACAGAAATGGAGAGATCTCAATCTCCATCAGTGTATCTTTCATGGGCTGAGGCTTATGGGAGTTGAAATTCAACATAACTGGCTGGGAAAGACATCCTAATGCTCAGTGTATGGAGACGTTGGTGGACTGGTTTTGCTATCACATCACTGTGGAGACAGAGAAAATGTACATGTTCCAGAGATGAAGCATTTCATGTTGGACAATAAAATCCCTCCTCCCCTAAAACCTGTTTTTTCTTTTACTGAACTTTTTTATACCTGCAAAGGAGAACATAAACTCTATGAATTCATACTGAAGTGTACTACAATTAATATAATTTAAAAGATGATTTGCTTTAAAACGACGGTTTTTGTCTTCCACATATGTCTAAGAAATTACAATTTTTAAAATTTTAGTACAGAAGAAAAAGAAAAGCAAAGGGAAAAGGGAAAAAGTCAGCTTTGTTTTTAAGCAAAATATTAAATATTGACCATATGGAAAACTATTGATCCATCTTTCCATTTTGTTGATAAAGAGCCAGTTCATAAGCTGAGGGAAAACACATCATCTATCCAAGATCTGTATTACAAATGCCAATTGCCTTCCTTTAAAAAAAAATGCTTTAAATTTATTGCAGTGATAAAGTTCCTGGAATTTACTATTCAAAGGATATTCATTTATTAATTTATTAGATTTATATTGGGCCTTTTGTTCAGAAGCTCAAACTGTACATATTACATTCTCCTCCAGTTTTTCCCCACAACAACCCTGTGAGGTAGGTTAATCTTGGGAGAGAGTGGCTGGCCTGAAGTCATCCAGTGAGCTGAGGATGGACTGGAACCTAGGTCACTCCAATGCCACCTTAACCACTATATTGCAGGCGAATGGGAAGGAGCATCATCCATACTTCGCAGAGTTTACAGCTGCTGCGTAGAACTTAAATCATAATCACTGTCAGAGGAGTTATCAAAAGGGCTGGGAGATCTGTTGGTTGCCCCTTCCAGAGCTGGAACATAGACGAGGAAAAAAAAACTTTTAACATGGAATCACATCAGCATGAAATAGCAATTGGTGCCAATAGGTTACCCCTTCCCATATGACTGAAATCTTTGCAGCCAAATGATTTCCCTTAGAGCTGTGCAAAATATAACAAAAAATAAACTAGGAAAAAAGATATAATGGACACAGACACTAGGTGGAGCATATGCCAAGTCATGCAAAGAGATGCAGTCTGAGGTTTCTGCTTCAGCACAAACCACTGCTTTCAACACAAAGATGGTTTATCTTTGCCATGTAAAGTTGTCTTCAAGTCCAACCTGATACCTGGTGACTCGCATCTATATCATTTTCTTAGCATGATACCAAAGTGGCTTGCCACTGCCTTCTTCCTGAACAGTTTTCCCAATTTGGCTTATAGCCCTGGACTTCCCAGGTGGCAACCTATCCAAATATTAGCCAGGTACTGGCTTATTAACATTATCCCATAGGCTTAACTGAATACCAACTACATACAGTAGGGCAAAAAAGTATTTAGTCAGCCACCAATTGTGCAAGTTCTCCTACTTAAAAAGTTAAGAGAGGCCTGTAATTTTCATCATAGGTATACCTCAACTGTGAGAGAGAAAATGGGGGAAAAAAATCCAGAAAATCACATTGTCTGATTTTTAAAGAATTTATTTGCAAATCATGGTGGAAAATAAGTTGCTTGCCTATTGCAGATTCAGTCTTCCCAGCCTGTGCAGGTCTACAATTTTGTTTCTGGTGTCCTTCGACAGCTCTTTGGTCTTGGCCATAGTGGAGTTTGGAGTGTGACTGTTTGAGGTTGTGGACAGGTGTCTTTTATACTGATAACAAGGTCAAACAGGTGCCATTACTACAGGTAACGAGTGGAGGACAGAGGAGCCTGCTTGCCTATTGCAGATTCAGTCTTCCCAGCCTGTGCAGGTCTACAATTTTGTTTCTGGTGTCCTTCGACAGCTCTTTGGTCTTGGCCATAGTGGAGTTTGGAGTGTGACTGTTTGAGGTTGTGGACAGGTGTCTTTTATACTGATAACAAGGTCAAACAGGTGCCATTACTACAGGTAACGAGTGGAGGACAGAGGAGCCTGCTTGCCTATTGCAGATTCAGTCTTCCCAGCCTGTGCAGGTCTACAATTTTGTTTCTGGTGTCCTTCGACAGCTCTTTGGTCTTGGCCATAGTGGAGTTTGGAGTGTGACTGTTTGAGGTTGTGGACAGGTGTCTTTTATACTGATAACAAGGTCAAACAGGTGCCATTACTACAGGTAACGAGTGGAGGACAGAGGAGCCTGCTTGCCTATTGCAGATTCAGTCTTCCCAGCCTGTGCAGGTCTACAATTTTGTTTCTGGTGTCCTTCGACAGCTCTTTGGTCTTGGCCATAGTGGAGTTTGGAGTGTGACTGTTTGAGGTTGTGGACAGGTGTCTTTTATACTGATAACAAGGTCAAACAGGTGCCATTACTACAGGTAACGAGTGGAGGACAGAGGAGCCAATGTGATTTTCTGGATTTTTTTTCCCATTTTGTCTCTCATAGTTGAGGTATACCTATGATGAAAATTACAGGCCTCTCTCATCTTTTTAAGTGGGAGAACTTGCACAATTGGTGGCTGACTAAATACTTTTTTGCCCCACTGTACAGGTAGTTCTTGTTTAGCAATTGCCTCATACAACGACTGTTTGCAGGTATAATGGTGATGAAAAAGTAACTTTGTGACCAATCCTCACATTTATGACTTTTGTAGGTCCGTAAAGCAAAGGAAAGCTGAAGTAAGATCATAAGCACAATGGTGGCACTTAGTGACCGCTTCAGTTAATGACCAAGTTGCCAGTCCCAATTGTGGCTGCTAAACGAGGACTATGTGTGTGTGTGTGTGTGTATACACTATATGTATATATATATTCATACTATATGTGTGTGTGTGTATGTGTATATATATACGAGTTCTTTTATAGCATCACAAGTAGTAACCAAAATTCCAGTTATAATGGCTTTCTGTGTTATATAAAATGTTTGCCCTCTCTTATCTCTGTCACTGTGATGGCTTGTAACTATCAGAGTAAGATTTCAAATATGATGCTGGCCATCAGCAAAGCACAGTTTTTGATTATGTGCAAAAATGGAAAACTACCATTCATAATTTGTTCACAAAGAATAATCACAGACAAGAGATTTGTACTGGCATAATGAGAATTGCTTCATTTACTTCATCTGGATCCATCACAAAAAAGATTATTGAGAAACTGGCCCTCTATTAAGAAATTGCTAAAGACACAGAAAAAGTGACTGTGTGTCTGAGAAATATGTGTTGTGGTGCCATGATTTAATGTTGTACCTGAATGTAGTTTATGAATCAACTGCCCACAGCAGAGAGAAAGTTTTAAATAATATATATTCTTAGCCTGGTAATATATTATCATGGGCCATGATGCTGTGTCTGCTTAGACCAGTGTTGTCCAAACTTGGCCACTTTAAGATGAGTGGACTTCAACTCCCAGAATTCCCCAGCCAGCCAAGCATTGGTTTAGACAATGTTTTGGCCAACCCAGCTGAAAACTATTGGACTCCAATACATGGGGGAAAGGAGGGAATCAGATTGTGGTGAAGTTATCTTCATATTTGTTAGATTTAATATCAAAAGTGTCCCTCTGATCTGTTGGGGGACTAAGTGCTTTGGCTCAACGTCTTTAGACTAACAGTACCTATTTTAAAATGTGACACACGCTTCTACGTTTAGCCAAGGAAATGTTACCTGCATAAGGTGAGAGGAAAGTTTTCTTGGAGGCTTTATTCTCCTCTTCCTGAACAACCTGGCTTTCGGGACGTGTCTGGAAGGCAGTAGAGCTCTTGCGATGGAATGAAACTAAATAAAAGCATAGTGTGGAATTGCGATGGAATGAAACTAAATAAAAGCTTACTTTCTATATATTGAATCCCCCACCTGTCACCTAATGACACATTTGGTTCCTTAGTTCTGATTCTTCATTCATGTGAAGATACAGGTTTCCTGGCTTTGTCTCCAGTTGAAATTAAGAATACTATTTGCAGGGAGAAGCCCTGATGGAGCCATGCTCTTTATGACACTTTTTAAAAACAAGGTGTATCCGGGGGCTGCCCCATTTGTAACTATTTATTGAAAGGAATGATGTCCATTGCTAATGTACATCCAATGTGTTAATGCCAACCACAGTATTCTTAAACAGTTCTAGTTCAACAAAGCAGATGTTTTTCTGGATCAGCCTTTGAAACCATCCTCAACAGGAGATGTTGCCCTTCCAATTCTTTGCACACATCTTTCAGTGCAGGACTGCATACCCACACCTTTTTCTTTTTAAAACAGAAGTCATTTACGTTTCCCTCCCAGGATCAAAAGCTGCCTCAGGGCTGTGGGGAGAAGAGGGTATCTTTGAAGCCCACGTCGTCGTGGGGCTGGGGGAAAGAGGTTTCATATAGGTGCCCACACATCCTGATCAAGTCCATTCATTGCTGCTACTCAGTATTTCAAAGCTAAAGACGATGATTACAGTCACACAGTTAACACCATGTCTAGTCTGGCCCTTCAAAGGGTGGGCTCTGCTAGATATCAGCAAAAGCCAAAGGTCTGCACTGCAGTCTCTCATTGAGCTGCCAACCTACTTCCCGTCTATAGAGGGAGCCAAAGCACATTTTTGTGATGGGCCCTCTGACAACAACTGAACAGTAAAAGGCCCCCACCGACCCACACATTTCTTATTCTACTCTTGTGTTTCAGTGAAATTGTAATTATGACACTGGATCTCTGTCCATAATCAGAAGAGGCACTTGTGGCATTTATATTAGAATCCTCATGTTTGCCAGGAAACAAATGACATTAGTCTTGCCCGGAATTCTTTTGCAGTTTCCCTCTGCCATATGTTTCGAGTTCAACAATGTTGCATCCTCTGCAAAGATGGTAAGACGTTAAAAAGGAATGGCTGCTTTTCTTCCTCTTGCGAGGAACTTGAAGCGAGTGCCTTGGGAGCAGAATTTTAAGCAGGACTCAGCCGATCTGTTTGGAATGTCAGTTTCAGTTCTAAAATATATGGCCCAGCCATAAATAATGGAGTGCTATTTAATAATGTCTTTAGTAGAGAATTATCACTCTTCCAACACAGGGTAAAATTACAGGGATGACAGTCTCTTTCAGAGAGCCTGTATCTCACAGGTATGAGTCAATGTCTTGTGAGTCTGAAACGTAAAGATCTGATCTCTTATGTCTTGATTTAATTCAGCCTATGGAAGATAAAGATTGTACGAGTGGGAGGGGTTGAGATTGCCCCATCATCCAACAGGATTGTGCTTTACGTATAATGCTTCACGTGGAGCTACTGTAATGCTGCCCACCTGCTTTCCCATGTGTGAAACTCTCTTTGGGATGGAGGGAGATTATTTCCTCTTCTGTCATGCTCACAAGGTTAATTAAAAGTCCCACCAAGCCAAAGTAAACAGCGGTTATATTTATAAACCATTCCAAGAGTTCGTTGACCAAAAGGTATGCCTCCTGCCTTTCTGAGATCAAATGGGACACTCTTTCTAGGAGGCTATAGTTAATGCCACCAACCTGAGCACTTTCATCCATTTATAATGAGAACATAAAACCTGCATTAGCCAAAATGTATATTCAGTGTCCTTGTACACATCAAATGCATACTCCCTTTGACTTGCATGGGAAATTTGAGCAGTAGACTACAGATTCTTGTTCCCTGCTCTGCATGTTGGTTCCTTACCATTTTGGTTCACCCCACTTGGGCCAATCCATTGTTGCTGCCTCTTCTTGGAACCTGCAGAGAGATGGAAGGAGGGGTTGATGCTGTAACCAGCTGTGGGATAAATACTCTCCCCCAAGTTGCATGAGTATAACCATTATTAGGCTTTGAGTGTGCATTGACCCACATGCATTGTGCATGAAGCGGCCTTGGCTACCTACTGAAACAGATTCATCTTAGTGCCTTTGACTCAGCGGAAGGCAATGTTCTGTGGATGAGGAAATTATTGGCAAGTCTGCATGGCTTCTTCACTCGCGTTGAGGAGGACAGGAAGTGGTCACATAACATAATCACACTACGTGCTTTCCAGCCCTGGTTATCTAACATTTCTATTACTGCAGGAAGTCTGTTTTTTTTTTTTTTTAAAGAAGGGTAGCAAAGTAACAGACTCACTGCTAGTAGAGTTACCCTGATTTAGCTTTTTCTGTCTTTTTAGACAGACTTGCTTTTGACCTCAGTAATGACTTATTAAGCAGCTGACTATCACAGCTCAGCACAAATTCACTGTACTCTTTGCTGCAGGAACTGCTTTAACCTCTTTTGGATGACCTTTAAAATTATGTTTTAAACAACACGAATCACTTCCAACCTAGACATATTTAAAATAATAGTAAAATACTCTTAAGTGAAAGGTTATAATGCAATATATTAAGGAGACACTGGTATTTTATGAAGGGGATTAATGGCTACAATCAGAAAGATCCTGTTTATTATTTTTTTAAGTAGAGCTGTATGCTTACAATGCTAATGAAAAAACATTAAGAATGTTTCCATTCATTGTCATTACCTACATTCCTGAAACTGTGATGAATAGAAAGGATTTTATAAAATCATTTTAAATGCATGTTATATACAAAGGATGCTAATGTGTAAAATTATTTTTTTTAAAAAAGCACTGATGATGTTACCTAGTCGGGTAATGAAATGCCTGCAAGCAAACAGCCAAGCTCAGAGAGCACCAAGGACTCCACATTTCAACCCTGAGCTACAGATACTCTCTTCTATTGAGAGTCCATCTAGACTTGGATGGAGTCTGATGCAAGGATTTAAAAAATCAAACACCCTTGGTATTGATGGAGTTTATGTTTAACCCATGTCGACATGGCAGAAGGTGAGATTTTAATGAACAAGAAGCCTATGGGCAAAAGTGTGCCATGCAAAATGGTGCCAATCCACATCAGGCCAACCAAAAAAGAAAGGGGTACACGTGCATACTTTTGTGTAGAGAGTGCAATATAGCATACAGTAGTCTTAGAATGAAATGTGAGAACCAGAAAATTCCTGGTGCAATCAATGGATCTCCCAAGCCAGTCTCTTGAGCCTGAGCCACCAGCCTCTCTGTGCTTCCATGTTAGTTAGTTAGGCCACCATACTTTTTCTTGGACTCCCATGTATTCTTTTATATTGTTGTAAGAATACAAAAAAAAAAAAAGCTGAGGCTAAAAAGAGAATATGACAGTCTCTTTATCCCAGAAATAAATTCTTACTTACATTTTTTCATAATTTTTTTGTAGGTAGGAAGAACACAGATACTCAGAAGAGCAGCAGTAAGAACAAGACCAAGTAGAATTCCCAAGACTGTCTCTGAATTGGATTTGTGGGACTTCAAATCTCGATCTGGAGATGGAAAATCCTATAGATTATGGACTTTTCCTGTCAACAAAGTTTTCCACTTCCCAACTCACTTACAGTAAATTGAAAATGTACCTAAGACTGATCAGGTTCTTTGGATTATTTGCAGTTCTATTTGGTTATCAAATGCTATGCAGATAATCACATGTATACGTTTGTGACTCTAAAGCTTGGAGAGAATCATCTGCCAATCAGTGATTTTTGCAATCCTTTCAGAATGGCCAAGAACTGAGTTAGAAGCCCTCCACTGTCCTTCAAATTCCTAATGCTGGCATACTGGCAGTTCTGCTGTGACAGGATCCCAAAAATTGTAACGCAGGGGGAGCCAAGATGGTACCAAGTCTCTTCCAAAAGGGCTATAGGCCACTCCTTTAAGCACAAAGCAGCAATGTATTGCCCCTTCGGAAGTTACATTTGCTGCCTCAGAACACTTCCCTGCCCAAGAATATGATGCAACTGTGAAAGGGATACACTGGATTACACTGCTTGTAATTGCAAGCCCCTGTTACGATGCAGCGGGTGATCAACACATTCCACATGGCTGCTGGGACTGTAGCTAGGTCTGAAACAGCTCTATATTTTCAGTAGGAACAAGCTCATTTTCAGAGAAATGCTACTGCTTTTAGGCCCTCTCATTCAATATTTCAGCACCAAAATTATACCCATTCCCCCTCCCACCCCTTTTGCATTACTGCAATTTTTTTCCTTCCAACATTCAGCCTGGCTATTGGAATTATTCCACTGCAAATATAATTTAGATACTATCTACCTCATATCATTGTCATCCATTAGGTTACCTCTGAACATCAACATTCAAAATAGTAATTTAACAGTTAGTAGTTTTCTTATCGCTATAATTCAGATCTCCCTTTCAGAGAGTTCAGGAAACCAATTGCTAATCTGCATCAGGGCTATACTGAGCTTGTAGAATTCTGGACCCATATTTTTAGGATGTATTAGAGCTAGCATTTCAGGAATAAAATTCCTCTCTTGGAATAATAGTATAGGGAACTTGTTTTTAAAAATGGGGAGGGAAATTAGAAAATATAACCATTCCTCCACCAGCTGAAGTGGTACAGTTCCAGAATTCTGTTACTTGAGTCAACCACTTTGTACAAAATGGCCTTTGCATAATTGCAGTGAAAGATTGAGGTGTAATTAAAGACCAATTTTGTGTAATTTAAATGATGAGCACAAATGAAAAGCAGCACAGAGATTGGATGCGCTCTCCTAGTAAGTTCTGCTCACCTGAGCATCTAACCAGGGTTAGGTTCAAGCACTCCTGAATGCTTCCTGAGCAATCCACATTAAGATTCCTTTTCTCACACTGCAGCTTCTCCCAGTGGTGCAGAGACTTTTCCCTGTTCTGATCCTTGTGTCCTGCATTTTCACAGTTTGCCCCCTGGCAGACCCTGGGTACCAGCCTATTCCACCATCTTTGTAAACTCAGGCAAAGCATTTTCTTGTAGCCTTCAACATCTGGCTCAAAAGTTGAGCACAAGGAGGTTCCTTCTTCGAGCTTTATCCTTGGATGATCTGTGAAAGAACGATAGGAAAGGTAGCACAAGGCAGTGATCGAGTAGTGTAGCTATAGTGCGATTAACACTATGAGTGATGAACTCAGTGGCAAAGGGTTTCTTTCACAGCGTCTTTGTAGTGCTTAAGCCATTGTGACATCCAGCCAAGGGAACTAGAAGCTGTGGCTGCTGACAGAGCCCACTGGCGAGCCCTGTGCTATGAAGCCTCCACTGGCTTTGAAGACAGGTGCCACCGAAAACTGATAGAAAACCATAAGCGGCTTCACAGAATAACACCCACAGTTACTGCAACAATGGACTTGCAGTGCCCCCATTGTGCTAGACTTTGTGCTTCCAGACTGGGACTGCAGAGCCACCTCCATATCTACAGATGAATTGCACAATAGCGAGTCTTCTTTGAACCCGAAGGACTATCATATATTGATGAGCTCAAGGTTTTGTGTTCACATTTTAACTTTTCCAATGAAAGCTATGGCCTCCCTTATCAGTACTTTAGATATGATACATCAGGTGTAGGCAGCTAGTATTCTCCAGCTGTTTTGAATATTAACTCTATCAGCATTAGCCAACATTGTCATGGGGCAGTGGTGTGGCCGCCAGTTTTGGTTCATAGCCTTAAGAGAATTTGGCAGACAATTGGTGGGGACAATCAAGATGCCTTAACTGAAGTCTCCATATTCTGAATAAAAATTTTAGGGATGGGGAAAACTGGGGAAGGTCTGCTGCTTTCATGTTCTTCTTGTGAATTATCTAAAAATAATCACCCCAAGTTGTTGGAAGTCAGGTGGCATATAAATTTAAATCATCATTGCCATCATCTCCAGAGCCACTCTCTGGAATAGGATATTGGATTAGATTGACCTGATGTCTGATCCAGCAGGGTCCTTCCTAGAAGTAAAAATCACCTTGATCTCTCCACTTCTGTGACCTGTAACCACTACCCTGATTAGCATATTTCTGTGAACTGAAGGGCTATTCTGCGTCAAAGCCTATATTGTTATCACATTTGGTTAAGTTGCTTAGTTAATCTATAGCCTTGATCAGTTGCAGCAGAAGCAATAACAGCTGTGATCAAAGATTTGGGTTTTCCTACCAAAGGGCTTTGAAGAGGTCACCAGCGGTGCTGTTGTAGTCTGGAATACAGGCGTGGTTTGAACAGGAGCTGAAATGATAAAGATAACCCACGGTATTTTAGAAGGAATTATTTCAACCCAAGAGATAAAATAGCTATAGTAGCATCTCAACTTGGTTACCACCAGTTCTGCAGTACTCAGCTATGACCTTGGCTTCACAACTTGCCAGCAAGTTGGATGTTGGTTCAGTTATTCATCTTGTCCCTTTCATTATGCTTTAGCTGGACTTCACTTTTTAAAAATATATTGAGATGTATTAACCTATATCTATCCTTTCTTTTCTCTTTTTTTTAAAAAACAGTTCATTATGTATTTTTATTCTATGTTTCTTTAGTAAACATTCAAAGGTACCTACATAAGGTATGTCTGCATGAGATTTTTGGGCCACACCTTGATTAGCTCTGCACCTCTGGATCCCATGCCTTCATCTCTTTTCAGTAGCTGAGTCAACTTATTTTAGACTCAACTGGGGGGCAAGAGGCACCTCTAACAGGAAAGTCTGCTTGACAGTTTTGCTTCTCCCCTTCAACAGTCCAGGTACGTAAGCAAGGATGAAATTGACACGATCCTACAAGGGATGAGCCAGGTGCAGTCTGGATGCATCACCCCTGCCCATCAATTTCTTTCTTTCATGGTGCAAAATAGAAGAGGGATCACCTGGTGTCTTATTTGCCGTCTCTATTCTTTTGCTGTGTATATAAAAAAGGTCACAGCTGGAATAACCAAATATTGTCTTTGGGACTGTCTATGCTAATTACCCACTGTATTGTCTCCAGTGGCTCTAGAAAGCTCTGGACCTTTTTGATATATAGATAAATATATGTTGATAATGTAAATTGTTGATATTAAGTCCTTTGCCCTTTTATCTCTTACTCGTTTATATTTCAGGTTCCCTGCTTTTGTCTTCCTTTTGTTGTGTATTGCCAGTTAACTGTTTTTGATGGATGCTGAATTTTAATAAGTAAATATCAAACTATATTATGTGGTAACTGAACTGAGTGGTGTCTGTGCTTACTCTGATCTGGATATAGGAATCTGCTGGGTGCTAACTAACTGGAAATTACCCACACCTTTCTTTCTATCCCTTCTGCGTTGAGTGGGACCAAGAGGATTTTTATGGCTGCAAGACCTGAGGCAACATATTATGAGGTTGTGATTTTTTGCTTTGTACCCTCAGTGCTCTGACTTTGGGAAGCTGGAAAAAAATCTCAGATCCTCTTCCAGTTGCTTTTGAAGGATTGGGGAAAGGAAGCAGTGACAGGGTTGCAGTGCTCACAGTCTCTGGGCCAAGGCACACAATGCAGTAACCTTTCTGAAGCTAAGCAGAGCGACTGTTCATGTTCCTTGCACTGGATGCCTGGACGGGAGCAGTAAGACAGTGGGCAAGATCCGTGTTCAGTCCTCTGTGACTGGTTTCCAGTTAAACGAAACCATGCTAAGAACTTGCACCATCAATTTCTCAGAGGCTGTCCCGTATCATCCAGGCTTTGTTCAAAGAGAGCAGGCAAATAGGAAGGGGGTTGCACATACCTTGACAAACTAGGAACACATCCAGAGAGAAGAAATCATGGGAATCACAGGCTATGCAGCGCTTGAGAGAGGTCTCATTCCCTCGGCAGGTCATCAGGCAAGTCTCGTGCTTCTCTGAGTTTTCAGCATATGGTTGCAAAATCCCGAAGGGGAAATGGCAACCAAGTTGTCTACAGGCAAGTTCTGCATTCTGCTGCGTAAAATTTCTGCTGTCAATTCTCTTCCATTTGGCCGCATGAAGCACCTCCAGCCACCCAGAACATCTGCGGCCTGCACCAGTAAGCCTCAAATCCAATTCTGAATAGAAAAAAGGAATTATTGAGGCCCTGGCAGATACATTGCACTATTCTCTCCTTTCTCTCAGTGCTGCTGACAAAGGCTGGGGCCACATGTGTATGAAATGATTTGTTTGCTCTAGGCTCAGTGAGTTGCGTGGAGTCATTCAATTGTGGTTTATTTACTAAACCATGGTTAACCATGGTTAGACAGTGTAAGTGGGATTTCACAGTCTCTAACATTATACATCTCACGCCTTTCCTTATTATGAAAACAGGAAAAGAAAAAGTACCTATTTATGATGAGGTGGGCTTCACAACCATCAGTAAAAATAGACAGTAAAACAGAAAAGGCAAACATAATTTGTCTTGAAAAGGATGTATCTGCTTGCCTTTTCTTCCTTTCACACAAAATGAAATCTGAATTGAGACTTGCCACAAGCTTACCAATCAACATACTTCCCATACTTTCATGACAATTAGATCCAAGCGAAGCTCATGTATATTTACATAGGATAAATCCCACTGGGTTCAGAATTGCTCCTTAATCAGGGTTGGCGTTTTGGTGCCTGAGGTGAAAAATGAGATGGTGCCCCCTCCTCATTCTACACATAGAAGTTACTAGATTGATAAATGAATCTTACTTAAATTTCTAGCCTTGGGTAGCTTAAGGGACTTAACAAAGAGACATAAGACAGGCCTTGTGACATGAAGAGTATTTTCGTCCAGGAGAAAGAGATGGCTGGAGGGTGACAAAAAACTTCCAGTCAACCACCACTGTTTCTGTAGAAAGTAAAGAAGGTGACCTTGATGGAGAGATGCAAGATCTGTCTCCAGGATCTTTCCTTACTCTCTACACTTTCCCTCCTTCCAGCATCTGCTGCCTACAGTGATTGCGTCCATTAGCTCAGAGGGAAGAGTTAGAGGCATAGAGTCTGCCCTGACTCTAAAACTGAACCTAGAGATTAAGTAGATTACTAACCTTCAGGGCTCATACTCTGTCCACTGTGACAAGTGACCACTGCAAAAAGAAAAAAAAAGTAATAAAAAATAAAAGAGTAGAACTGAAATAAGCTGAAGAGAAGAGTAGCTAGCCAGTATGTACTGTATGTAGGTATGAAGGTAGTATGTATGCATACAAGCATTTGCATTTGGCTTATGTCCGTACATTCAAAGTAGTATACAATCGTAAAACACAGCAAAGAAGCATATGAAATACAATGAGAAAACTTTGCCTCTGAAATTATGACCAATGTTCACACAAAGTGGCTTTTCTGGTTATTATTACTTCCAGATTTAATTCTAACCTTGTCATAAGTATTGTGCTAAAATAAAATTAAAAAAAGAAATTCCCAGTAATAACAACACTGTGTCACTGGCTAAGTTCTTTTTTTATATATAGTAATCTTATTAAAGATTACAGTTACAATAAAAATGAATGCAAACTAAAAAAAAGAATAAAAAGAAAAATAGAAGGTGTGGAAAAGAAAGAAAAAATAGAAAAAATAGAAAGAAAAATAGAAAAGAAATAAAAAATAAGAATATAAAAAAGAACAAAAAAGAAATATATAAAGAAGTGACTTCCCCCTTCATCACAACAAGTATAAACAATTTTAGTAACTTATCTTCACTTAAAATACAACAAATGTTCTCTTCTTCTCATATCCCATCTCTTTTCTATAAACAAATCCATAAAGCCTTGTCATTTCAATCCTGATGTCAACAAAAGTCCATTAAGGGTTAACAGAGATAACAACATATTTATTTTAACCTTCATCTAATAAACCAACTTTATATTCCTTCTTTTTACTTATAACAATCTTGATTTTTAGTCCCTTCAAATAATGTAATAGAACTTGATTTCTTTTCATTTTTTTCTTTGTCCCTTCTCACAGAATTCTTCAAAGTTTTAACAAGCCTCTTTTGTAAATCCAATATAGGAAAACTATCCAACTCACTCTCTTGGTTTGTTATTTGTATATCCTTTTTAATTATTAAGACGTCAGATGGTTTCTTTTGTATTTCCAATGTAACATCTTTTTCCATGTCATTCTTGTAGCCTGTCATTTTTAAATCCACTTTCAAATCAGTCTCAATATTGTCAGATAAAACTTGTTACTCTTCCATAACATCTTTTAAACACAGTCTATCTAAGAAGCGTTTTCCCACAAGAAGGATTCTTTAGAATTAATTCCAAAATCTTATTTCAAATTTATCTGGACCCTTAGTCCATTTG